GCCGCTGTGTGTGGGACGGGTCGGAGGTCCCTGTGACCGGGAGCCCTCTCAGGCGATTCACCGCTCACTTTATATAAGTAACTACACACCGGCGATTGTACCCTCTCTCTCTCTCCCTCTCTATCTCTGATATGTACATAACAACAACGACAACTTGGGTTTACACAGCGCCCTCCACGCCGGACGGCGCCTCAGAGCGCTTCACAGTAACGGAACCCGGGGCCGAGTCACGGGGGGGGAGGGGGGGGGCGGGAAGATGACCAAAGGCCTTCAGCAGAGCCCGGAAACCGGGAAGGGAGGGAGAGAGGCGAAGGGAGGGAGAGAGGCGGTCCCAGAGCCTCGGGGCGTAGGGGCTGAAGGCCCGGCCGCCGAGGGGGGAGCGGAGGACTCGGGGGACGAGGAGGCAACGGGGGGCACTGTTTTGAGGAGAGAGGACATCGGGGGGTCCGGGGGGTGCAGAGGAGTGGAGGGACTTGAATACGAGGGTTTGTAATAATAATAAATATACTGTATGTGTATAGTAACTATATAATAATATTTATATATATGTAGATATATATATATATATGTAGACCCCCTGAGTTTCGCCCCCACCGCCGACCGCCCGCGACTGCGAGACGTTACCCGTTTTGCGACCCGACTCGACCTCCTCCGATCGTTCATCCGTTATCTTTGGATCCGCGAGTGATCACAACGTGCATTCCCTCTTCGACCGAGAGCCGTCGATCTCCCGGACGCTTCCCTCCGCCCGCCCCGACCTCCCCCGCCCCGACCCAGGCTCGGTCCGTCCAGCGCCTTGGGATGTCCTCCCGACGTGAAAGGCGCTGTACAAATGTAATCTTGTTGTCGTCGTCGTCGTCGTATGTAGGGTCTGCGAAGTCTTCACTTATTTCAAGGGAACGTCTTGATGTGATTCAGTATATACTGCTCCGTCTGTATCGATGGCACTGCAATCTGTCTTTTTTTTTAAAAAAAATTCCTTCCTAACTTTGCTCACAAAATACGCAGTTCAATCCGTTTTACAGTGTATTTCGTGAAGCGCTTTGAGACGTCTCACGGATGTGATGTCGCTGTACCAAATGCAAGGATTATTATATTATTATAACTTTAGTGCGCGCTTTGTGATGTCTCAATGTTGCGATAAGGCACAAGATCAAATGCAAGGATTATTATTATTATTGTTAATAAAACAGTGAAATCACTGTAACATTTCCTTCCAACCCAGACAACAGGAACACAGCTTCCCCCAAATCTTAGACTACAGTACTGCTGGATGTCAATTCCCTTCCCTGTGGGGGAAGTAACCATCTCCTGCTGATGTCCTTGTAGGATTGAGGCGGTTTGGTGGGAAACAATTGCTGGCAATCGGCCCATGTTACAGCGCTCAGCGAGTGGGTGCACATTGGAGTTGAGAAAAAGCTCCTCTTGAAAATAGCTAACTACTGGCTCTTCGTTACTGTAATTTCAGGCCCTGTGCCTGTGGGAATGAGCAATTTGCTGCTGGGGGAAGAGTGGGCTGGCAGGTTGTGCCCAGTGACCGTGTATAAACATTCTGTTGACAGGTCAGTCGGGGCTCAATGACCTCCGTGGCTTCAGCGACCAGAAAAACAATAGAATAACCCTTTAAGCGAGATGCATCCAGACCTGTCTCCACACCTGCACACAGAGGAGTGCAACATCATGATCAGGCGCCTCAAACAATGCCACAGTGAAGTGAGTAATGTACCAAATGGAGCTGCGCTGATTCAGCACAAAAGTGTTGTACAATGTTTGACTTCTTAAAGCACCATCCTTGCTGATCAAGCTTTGAGACATCTCAAAGACGTGATAAGGTGCAGTATCAAATGCAAGGATTATTATTCTTATTATCATCATCATCATCCATATGCCTCATTAATGTTAACCAAGCTCCTTTCTACCCTTCCTCAATGACTAGTCTGTAAATCAAACCATACAGAGTGGGAAGAGTTTTAATAATTATTACCTTTCAATCCCCCATCTGAGACAAACTCATTCAAGAGAAATCTATGCAAATTTGTCAAGAGTGGTTCAGCATCTAGAGTGGCGTGATGGTTGGGGGGTGGGGGGGGGGGAATGGAGCCAGGTCTCTCGCTACCAGTCGCTGTCCTTTTCTGGGAAGTGTGTGTGTGTGAACATCAGGACAACAGCGAATAGTGAAATAGCAAATAGTGTTTTGCCCACAAATATACGGTCAATTCACTTTACAGTCTATTCTGTGAAGCGCTTTGAGACGTCGAGAATACGTGAAATGCGCTATATCAAATGTAAGGATTATTATTATATTATTATTATATTATGATTATAAGACGCTATTTCACGTTGGAAAGAATGTCCTGGAACATCCAGGAATAGGTTTGGAAATAGAGTTAACCTCGTGAGCTGGTACCTAAAGGCCATTAACTAAAAGCCAGCTCTATTGGTAAGACAAGCTACTTTTATCTCAACAGCACAACTTCCTGAAGTTTTTCGGGACATGCAACGACTTTGATCGAGAAATGAGGCGATGTCTCAGAAAGGAGGTAAGCCGTGCGTTTTTCTTTCTGCTTTTAATGAGGCGAGAAGCGATTTAGGAAAAAGTCGAGTGGTTTCTCTTGGATCTTGCAACCAAGGACGATCCTAGCTTATGCCCTCGTGAATGATTCCCTTTGCACAGCTCCCAACTCAGTCTCTGTGAATCGCTTCGAGATGTTGCCTATGTGGAGGGAACTATACATATTAAAAAAAAAGTGCGAATTGTTATTCTTTTTAAAGTTCTGTTGTAATTGTTTTTTTCGGCCTCCTCAACAGTACCAAGCCAACAGAGAAAAAAGCAAAGCACACGCAGAGCGGATGAGAAAGAGACTGATTGAGGCATCGAAATGAGAGAAGCAGACGGCCATTAACATCTCCTGCCCCTTTCAGTGGTCACCAGCAACGCCCCCCGCACACACCGGCTGGGCTCATCCTGCAAACGGTGCAGTCTCCAGGTCCGGAGGTTTCAGGAGTTTCCTCATAAACTGACATCCTGGCACGTTAAAACCTGGATTTGCTTCATCGTGTTACAGAGTGACGCTGTTCTCTTTGAAAGCATTAAAGACTATTTAAACCTAACGGTTCGGTGCCTTCACTTTAGGGAGAGTGGGGCGGGGTGAGGGGGGGGGGAGGAGAGAAGGAAGCTATTTTGATTTTATAATATTCTGTCGCCCTCCTCAAAAATACCTACAGGCCTGGTCGGGACCTCGAGACTTTTAAGATGACGGTCTAGCCTGACACTCGATGTTTAGGTGGACATTAAAGATCTCGCGGCGCTATTCAAAGAGAAGATAGTTTCTCCCATCGAATTGACCCTGTGCGTGAGGTCAAAGGGCCAATGTTCTGTTTGGAGACTACAACTTGGACTCAAGACGCGGTAGCGTTAGACAATACGGTCCACTTCCATCTCCATCCACACCTCTGCTCGCGCCGTCTCCGGACTGCGACCCGCCGCAGCCGGCAGAGGGTGCCAGAGGAGCCATTCTGACCCTTCAACGTCCCTCTCGCCTTTCGCCGCGTGCCTCTTCGCCGACCTCCCGACGGCACCAGACCAAGGGGGAGGCGGCAAACGAGGCCATTCGTGCTGCACTCACCGGCTCAAGCGCACGTTCTTATCATCGCGGAATTGTAATGCAAAGGCAACAGCATTGAGATGCGCAGTCTGGGAGCTGAGCTGAGCCGATAGCGACACCTACTGGACATAGTCTGTGCTGCGGGTTCCTGCACTGTAAGGGCTATTGATAATAGACCGCAGGTTTGACGTACGGTGGGGGTACCGCCTGCAACACTAGACATCTCACACCACTCCTCCAGTGCAAGGCAAGGCAACGGTGAAAGAGGAAGGCAATCAAATAAAGAGCCCTTAGAAATGGGATCAAACAGTCGTAAGAACAATGCACTATTCTGGCGGACAAATAATTCTCGTCGACGTTAAAAGCTTGATCCATCGTAGGCTTATGTTGTCATTTATCCAAAAGGAGGGACTAGTTATGAAAGGAAATATCAATGAAATGTCAATGAAAACCAGACAGACCGGTCACAAAATGGCCCGATTAGTTTGGATGAAGGCAATCTTCCAGATTCTAGTCTTCGTATCAAAGATTCAAGAGTTTTTTTTTGAAAAAGAAAAACGAGTGCACCCACAGTGTCCTGAGCTCAATCACCCTCCCCGGTAACGAGTTCCTTCATCATTAATTAGCTCCGGCTAAAGAAATTCTTCCTGGTGCCCATCTTAAAATCACCTTCGCGACTTGCAATTTATGTCACCCATAAAAAATGTGGTCAATTTGTTTTACAATACGTTCTGCGAAGCTCTGTGAGACGTCTCGAAGACGTGATAAGGCTCTACATGCAAGGATTATTATCAATATTATTATCCAAACCTATGTCCTGTTGTTCTACTATCTTGTTGCATCTAAAAGTATTTCGCCCACAAATATACAGTCAATTCACTTTACAGTCTATTCTGTGAAGCACTTTGAGGCGTCTAGAAGACGTGAAAAGTGCCAAATCAAATGCAAGGATTATTATTATTATTATTATATTCTGGGTTGACTTTCTCCAATCCCATTAAACAATTGTAAAATATTTTTACCTCTACAAGTTTCCTCTCAAGATTGAAGAGCCCTCGCTTGTCTCTGTGTCTTGGCCTTACGTTGACGTGATCAGAGCTGTGTGCAGGACTCAAGGTGGAGTCTGACGAGGATAGCTTCAGTATGATCTGAACTCAACTTATTTAGCAATATAGCTCATCATCCTGTTAGCCTTGCTTATTGCTGCTTCACAGTGTTTTTGACATGGTGAGTGATGAATCAACTCATACCCCTAGATTTCTTTCCGCTTCCTCCCCCTCTTTGGTACGTTCTGTCAATGCAAAAATAACCAGTTTTACAGGATTATATTCCTGTTTGCTCAGCGAGTGCAATTTCTCAGGTGAGACACGACTTAAATTAGCTTAACTCCACTCCCGCCTCTTGATGAGAAGAAAGTGGATTCAAGCTCCCATGTCAGGACTTTGAGCTCCAAGTTCTAGGCTGACACTCAATGTCCTTTAACTATTCCCCTCCAATACCTTCTCGTTCATTACCCTCAGTGAGTCAGTAAGTATAAATGAAATACTTCCTGGATCTGTGCCGAAATTATCCTTTGCAACTGTAAATCTAATCCCTTCAAAAACACGCACACTGTTCCCATTTGCCCAATTTTCTTCCAGGTCTAGTGTGTGTAACTGATTTGTTGGTAACTTGGCACTGTGTCCATTTATAGTAGGGCCATTAATGGTCCTCCTACTGGTATATTGCGTGTGGTATCAAATGCAAGGATTATTATTATTGTTATTATAAGGAATTAATCAACACATTCAAGTTTAACAAGTTATAAAGTGCTTATTTTCACCCCAGTCAAAGCCAGCATAAGGAGCTCTCACTTCCTGTCAGACGCACTCTATTGAGCATCTGCAAAACCTTGAATAGTCCCCAGGCACAACCGCTGCCGGGGTCTGTCTATGTGTGTGTGTCTGTCTTCCTGGACTCACACAGCCAATATAGCCTAATTGCAGGGGTCATCACAGTGCAGGTTCTGATGCCAGGAAAAGCACAGATGGCATCATTCCTCCCCTTTTATATTAACCGTCCCAGAGCTCCCAAGAGCGGAGCAAAACGGGGAGGGGGGGGGGGGGGGAGCGCGAGGGGGAAGGTGTGGTGGGGAGGGGGTAAACAACAACAAAAACAACGACAACTTACATTTATACAGCACCCCTCGTGCAGGGTAGCGTCCCAGAGCCCTTACGGCTCAACGTAACGTGAGGATACAGCAACTGGAACTGAGGTCAACCGGGTGGGGATGAGTGAACAATAAACAGACTGAAACCCACCAGCAAGGTGTCAAACACGTCTGTGTGGGGATGGGCAGGGGGTGCGGGGGGGGTGGTAAATACACGGTAATTATAGCAATTTCATCAACGCACACTAACCAGTTTGTTGTGCGCGTGAGAAAAATATTTTCAAACGTACTGCAAATATCTCCCAAAAATAGCATCACTCAGTGTGTTGCGGATGAGATGTCTGGCTATTTTTAGTGCGTATTAGGGACAAATACAGATTCCAAATAATACTATTGCGAAGCAGCAGAGATGTGCGGGAATTGGTGGTGGTGGTGGGTGGGGGGAGAGAGGCTGGGGCGTGGGGGGGCAGAAAGAGAAGTGGGCAAAAGAGCAGGAGAGTCCCGGTCGATGAGCTCAATGGCTCAATCGGCAGTGAAATTATGGGCTCGTTACATGGGATTGCGCATTGCACTGCAGGGAAAATCGCTCACTCACGTCACGGCTGTTTGTGGGACATTGCTGCGTGCAAATTGGCTGCAGGTTTGTTGACAAAAGTCCACTCCACTTAACAGAAAATCCCGTGAAGCGCTTCCAGACTTCCACGAGGCTTCTCCAGTGATCCTAAATAATCGGCGCATTCGATACGGCGCTTTCCGCATCGTGAGGACCTCTCCAAGGATTCCCTGTGAAGTGCAGTGACTTTTCTTTTTAAACGCACGTGTACATCAGCTCCCCCTCTCCCCCCCCGCCCCACGTCCACTGCCCCGTCTCTCACCACGGACTGTTTATCAGGCTGTGGGCTCGCTGGGCTGTGTATACCCTTTTCGACCACGATTCGAGACCTTCCTCTCCGAACGGGCTTGCGGGCACTTCCTCCCAACTCCTGGGCTCAGCATCAGACCGGCTGCGGCTCAGTGCCCCAAGCTGCTGCCCCGTGTGAAGGCCTCTGTATAAATTCAAATGGTTTATACCCGCTCGCTGGCCAGCCTGGCACTTGCAGGACCCAGAAAACAAAGGTGTCTTGTAGACGGGTGTCACTCTCCCAGACCGAAGCTGTGAGCCATCCTCAGAGAGGCTGCAGACAATGGCTCTATTCACTCGAACACACACACTGGTGCCTGTGTCCTGACCCGATCCCATGTTACAGAACGGGACGGGAGATGCGTAGATTTAAAAGGCAACCAAGAAGGAATTGCAAGACTCCGACCAAACATCATGTGGGTTTATTTTGTGTATTTTTGTCTCCACACTGCAACCCCCACCCCCCACCCCCTTCCACCGCCCTGGTCTCCTGAGGACATTTGGCTCCTTCTTCTTTCTACTGAGGGATGGTCCCAACAGATAAAGTAATGATAATAATAATTCTTGCATTTGACACAGCACCGTTCGTGTCAGGAGGCTGTCTCAAAGCACATCATAGGATTTTACTGTAAAGTGCAGCGACTGTGGATGTTTATAAGGCAAGCGATTTGCAGACGAGCACGACAGCCAAATTGCGCACAGCAACGGTCCCACAAACGGCCATGAGGCGAAATGACACCTCCGGTCTACACAAGTCACTACCCTTTACTGTGAAAAAAAATCTGATCCCTGAAGGCACGTTCTCGTCGAGAATCCATTATAATGAAGAATTTTGAACTGAAAACAATTAAATTGACGACTCACGGCATTAGGGCTACCTTACCATGCAGAAGGGTAAGTGCTGGAAGGGGGAACGTTAATGATGGCTCGAAGCAGTGTGGCAATTATACTCATCCAAAGGGGTTAATCTCTGACTGTGACACTCAGGAAACCGAAGAACACCATTGACTACAGGAGGCTCTAATAAAACTGTGGAACATCAAGCGCTGGTCCAAACCTGCTAATCAGGACATTCATATTATCCTAGTAAAGAAATGGACAGCGTCAAACTTCAAGACAGAAAGCTCTGAGGGACGAACTGAAGTGTGGTCTCCGGGAAAGAAGACATTAAAGTTGAGGAACCGAAGAACACGGGAACCAGGAGGAAGCCGTTCAGCCCAATTAGCCAAGTTATTGATGCAAAAAAATCCTCGCGTTTGATGCAGCGCCTTTCGCGTGGGGAGCAGAGGTCTCAAAGCACTTCGCGGGACCCAATGTAAAGAGTGGTCACTGTTTTTGTGGGTGAACGCAACAGCTAATTTGTGCACGATAATAATAATAATAATCCTTGCATTTGATATAGCGCCTTATCACGTCGTTGAGATGTCTCAAAGCGCATCATAGTTGCGCTAAACTAAGTCACTGTAAAGTGAATTGACTGTACATTTTGTGGACGCAACTCACAGCAGTGTGTCCCACAAACAGTCGCGGATTATTACCCCCTGGAAATCGATCCACCAATCGACTAACAAGCGGGTAAACAGAGGAGTGTGGAGTAAGGAAACTTGCCTATGGTTTCGCCCCCAGCACATTATTATCGCGATTAACCCCACATCCGCAACAGGGGAATTGGAAAAATACGCATTGGGCGTCACTGTGCATTGATGCAGAATCTTTACGAGGGGCAATTACTACACAGCGCGTTATTATATTGTAATCTGGAGCATGTTTCTCAGCCGCGGCGCAGCAGAGCGTTGAGAAAGCAGCGAGATCTCAAGAGGACCCGCGACCTCGATTCAACTCCCTCGATGTGTTGGTGGTTGGAACCGAACGTGAGGGCTATCATATACAAATCGCTCCTGAATAAATGATGCACAATCTCACACGCTGCGGAAGGCTGTCCTCGCTCCGAGAAACAGTCCGATGGAACAGATATTATTATTATTATTATTATTATATCTGCCCACAGCTATCCGCACGCGACGTGTTTGGAGTTGAATTACTGATGCTTTGTTTAGACTGCTGGAGATTTGGGCTGCGCGCTCTGTCTCGATCTGCGGGACTTAACACCAGGTCGAGCCGCCGCCAACGAATTTCGTATAATTTTATTGGGAGCAGCTTTTTTTCCACAATGTATAAATATATTAACACACATGAAAAATACAACTTCTAAGGCACCCAGAAAAGTGTTCGGACACTAATTTACAAAAAAAGCATTACACGTTTGGGTTTTGTGTACATCTCGGTCGAACACGGTCTTTTTTTTTTAAAATCACATAGATCAGAGTAACCTGGTAGTTTATAGAACATAGATAATATACCTCCGAGTAAGAAAAAGGGTGCCCACACCAAACAGATCGCTAACAATTTTAAATAAACACAGCCCCCATTAACTTGTAAAAAAAATCTCTTAAAACCCCATTGTATTCCTCTGTGGGATAAATACACCTCAATGGTTCAGCCTCAAGTGCTTCAAACGGATTGCCTGACCTTCGGGAAGAGGGTATAAACGTAAGGTCTGAGGCCGCAAAATTCCACTTGGCCTGAGCCTTGCGAGACAGACCGCGAACAGACCCGTGAGATTTAACCTTTGTGCAGAGTGGTGGAGAAATTCTTAAACCCGGTCGTGCAGATTTTCTTTTCAAACGCAAGAGGACTGCGCAAAAGAAACAAAAAAAGCTTTCCGTGGTAACAATTAAGAATTTCTGCACAATTCTGGCGCGATCGCAAATTTTGAGACAAAATGGGTCTCACAGATGGAACCCCCGAAATGACCATTCCCTCCTCCCCCCCACCCCCCCCCCCCCCCCCCCCACATTGTCTTCACGTCTAAGTGCATCGATTCACCGATCTTAGCCTTAGCCTTTCTAACTGCCAGGTCACTCGCTGAAGTTTACACATATCAAACAACGCTTTGTTATCTTGAACAGAAACACGACTTGGCAAAATATTCACACCGCGACGAGTCCTTTAAATAGTGTGTTACGGCTGAAACACAGTACGAGTCTGAATGAGAAAGAGAGAGGGAGAGGATGGGGAGAGGATCAGCAGTATTTCGACGGACATCCAAAATGATATTGGCACAAAAGCAGTGAGGTTTACACAGGCAGTGGGTCAAACACCTAAAACATCTATTTGGGACCAGAGAAGAAGGATTGCCGGATAAGTGTAGAGAGAAACATCTCTTGGACAGTGAATTAAGTATAAAAGAAAGTTTTTTTACCGTCCTGAAAAAATATATATACTGCAACCTTCCAGATTCACCACGTCTCTCGCACAGGGTGCCCCTAAGTGGTATTTCTGCACAGCTACCGAAATAACTTGAGCAAAACCACTAATAGCTCAACTGTACGTCTTTCCCCCTTCACACACAGAGGCAGCACACGGTCCCGTTCAGAACGTGCGGTGGCAGACGAGAGGGGATATTGATTTTTGTCGGAACACTGAAAAAGAACACTTAAAAAAAATTACAGCAGTTTATGAAGAACACACTTCAGTGTCCGACCCTCTGTGTTATGGCTTCCCATTTAACTTTAGTCAATACCGCATTTGTTCCAGGACCCAGACACGCATAAAGAAATCACGCTCAGATTTTTTTTCCCCCACAGCCATTCTAAACTTGGCAAGTCCTCATCGAATCCTTTTCGATTTAGTCACATTTAAATACCCAATGCCTCGTCGCAACAAACTTCTCTTGAGTTATTCAATCAGCAGCCGAATTAGTGCATTTACTTGAAATAAATAAGAACTGATGAGTATTTTAGCTGGGACCCAGGATTCTAGAAGTTCAAACGCGGACAGGCTCTGGAGCTCGAACAGGAAAACACAACACGGCAAGTCAACACCTGAACGCTGGCTGCTATTCACGATGAGACCTGAGCAGTTAAAGAAAACAGCCATCGACCAGCAAACGATTCCTTCTACCGCGTTGTATTTTGTTACACACAGGGCACTCGGGAGGTAACGTTGAGCCTCGCTTGTGTGTTTAATGGACCTCACTCAACAGGACTCGTTCTAAGAGTTACGCAACGGCACCAAGATAGCGTCAATCTCTCCCGCAGGTCTCGAGTTAGGTCAACAACAACCTGCACTTATACAGACACACCACCCCCCCCCACCCACCCCCATCACACAGGGTAGTGCCCCAGAGCACTTGGGTCAGCGGAACCATTCTCAACAAAATGCAAATGTCCCGTCTCCCCCCAACCCAGAAAAAGACACGAAAGTGTGTCGACGGTCAAAGAAAAACAACATCACTGATCAGTGATACTGTTCACAAAACATGAAAGAAAGAACAGTTGACGCCTCGAGTCATTTTCTATTGAGAGAGTTAAGAACTCTGAAAAAGAATTTACTATATGTATATTTTTTTCTCTTAAAAAGTTATCAAACTTCGCAACTTTTGAAACTTTTTCTTTGGGGGTGGGGTGGGGGGTACGCACTTCTGACAACTCAGGTGACCGCTGTAAAATATACGTGAGTGAATCTTCCAATGCAACCTTCCATTATTCTTCCCCGCCAGGTGAATGGATAACCAATCGAGTTCTGACGTACAACCTCGATGTAGTTGGTTGTACAGCCATTGTTCCTGGTTTTTGCGCTGCAAAGGGTTTAGGGAAACTCGTATCTACAGCGCGAGCTTTTGTGCTCGCGAGGGCTTAAGCGTTTCTGCGGAAAGAGAGAAAAAGAACTGGACGAAAACTTAACGTCGCTCGGCTTTGGATCCGAGGAAGTAATGCAACTGCTAAACACGGCATCGATTAAAACAATCACCTAAAGGGTTCGGACGTTGATGCAGAAGGTGGGAGCGTTCGCCAACATGCACACGTTCGGTCGCGATCAACGGATCCGCTCGGTCTTAGAATTACAGGACACGTTTTTGCCGGTCGGTTCATAGCCGCTCTTCGCAGCGCTGAGACCCCGGACTCCTCAAATCCGTCCCGGCTCTCACTTGGCTCCTTCCACGGACACCGGACGGAACAATGGGCTGCAGCTTGGATCTCCTGGCAGCTTCATACCTCGTAGATCTTTTCCTGCAAGTAGCTGAACAAAGAATCCAGTCCCTTGGAGGAACTCCACAGCTGTTTGAGCATCTGACATTCCCGCTCGTTCACCTGCTCCAGGGTGGACTTAAGAAAACTGCGAACCAGACACTTGGATTCTTCCAGGACCTGCAAAACACAAGAGACAGACAAGACGTGAACGTCTCGAACAACACGCCAGGCAGCATAGATACAAGAAAGAAAGAAGGAAAGGAAGCAAGCTTGATTTTTTTTAAAAAAAAAAACAGCGCTTAATCATGTCAGACCTCCTCCAAGTGCTTCACGCTGACGACCGTCAAATTCGGAGACTTGTGGTCTTTAATGGGCAAATGCGGCAGCTCTTTTACACACAGCATAGGTCCCACAAACAAGCCACAATCCGCCAGGCACGATTCCCTTCTCCTATATTAAATAGTCATTTGAGGTGGGTGGGGGAGGGTGGCTCTGATGTCCACCTAAAGAACAAGGTAGACGATTGCTCAGTTTAATGTCTCACCTGATGGATGCCAGACACACACATTGCAAAAAAGCCAAGGCTGTTTTTTTTTTAATATACCCACATTATAAAGCTATATAAAGTTGCTGGAGAAAGACGCACATTGGAAAACACTACAGACGAGCAACAGCAGTCGTTCACCGCGTTCAATTCTGTTCAAGGGTTCGTTTAAAGCCAATTGAGTTCCTCCTTCCAAAAGGCCAAGGCTGTGTGATTGCTTGAAACAAACTTACCTTTTGGGGATTAGGGAGAGGGAGAATGTAGTTCAGAACTCTCCCCCAGTAGATAACAACAGGGGGGGGGTGAATGCTGTGTTTGGCTATGTGTTGTTTTGAACTGGAAGAAATGTGTCCGATTGGGGCTGAATGACCTCTCTTCATTCTCTAGTTTCTCATGCTAACTGGTGTGAGGCTGAGTCATCAACCCCAAAGCTGGATCAGGGTCCAATACCAAGTCGTTGCTGCCAACATGACAGTAATAACACAATAACTGGCCCATTACTGGGCTGAGTGGGGTAAGAAATGTGCCAAGAACTATTGGCCAATGAGCCTTGCTGTGGGGGTTGGGGTGGGGGGGGGCGGGGTGGTGGGGGGGGCAAAAGAGTTGGGGTAGGAAAGCGAAAGATGTAGTGAGAGAAAAGAGAGAAGGAAGGGCGGGGGGGGGGGGTTGTAGAGTGAAAGTGGAGAGAGAGAAAAAAGAGAGAAAGAGAGAGAGAGAGAGGGAAAGAAGGTGAGCGAGTGAAAAAGCCAAAGAGCGAGTGAGTGAAAGTCTACGAGACGAAGGTAGCATCAGGCCGTGTGGTCCCAATGGTCAAATCCCGTGCGCAACACTCACACAATGAAAAGGGCCGCTTGAGTGAGGCACTGGTGGGCTGTCACCGACCGCAGGACCGTCCCCAGCGTGAGTCAGCGCCTTGAGGAGAGGAGAGGAGGGGGTGGAGGGTGGAGGGTGGGGGTGGGGAGGGAGAGAGAATTTCACAGCAGTATTTTAACATCACGCTCAATCGGCACTGACTCCAACCCATGGCCCACGGGGACGGAAGTGGCCCACCGAACATTCCCACTAGTCTAGGTCATAAATTTTGTTTCCATCCCACACCCCACCCCCCTCCTCCTCCTCCTCCTCCTCCTCCTCCTCCCCCGTGATTGAATGTTTTGCAGCTTACGGCGTAAATCGAAGAAATATTCGATCAAGAAAACTGATTTAGTTGGGCCAACTAAAAACGCTGTGTAAATTCAAGTTGTTGTTGTGGTTGAAAGACTGGACCCCGACGGCCAAGAACATCTCCTCTGGCTGCTGTTTTATATGCCTGACGCCCCTTGGGATGACCCTGTGTGAGCGCTAAGTATTGTGGATCGCTCGACTTTGCAACATCCAGAATATTATGCACTTGCATCACAGGCAACAACCTCCTCCTCCTCCTCCTCCTCCTCCTCCCCCCCACACCACCAACACTAAGTATGTTGTGTTCGGATCCCCCCCGACCTATGGCCTTAACTGCAGCCTGGCTGAGAAGTCTTGGGACTTGATTCACGGGACCTTCTACTTTTGGTCTGCGGGATCCAGATCTATTGAGGTTCTCGTTTTCTGATTCCATTCCACCAACAATTAAAGTGGCTGCAACCTGATACCCACGAGCACCGCACGCGACTGGATTTGGAAACCATAACTCCAAGGCGAGGGGTAAGTAAGCGGGCAGTTCACTTGCCATAGCACTGCACATGGCCATCTCCTTCACCCGCAACATGACTTCTTGACTGAATGTCGTCGGCCAGAAGACCTGAGATACCAGCCCTCTGCTGCACGCTTCCTGTGCGGTCAACTTTCGCCCACAAAAGAGCATCTCATTTGCCTGTAAAAGGAAAAAAAAAAGAGCTGAGCTTAGCACTGTAGACTTTGCAGCATTTTGAGAAGGCCATTCAGCCCTTCGTGTCGATGCCGGCGCCAGGTTTCTTCGACTTTCCTCTTACTTCTCTTACTTCTTTTTTTTTAAAAACGTGCTTTGGCATCATTCTCTACACCGGTGCTGTGCCGGTCTTATTCTAGACAAACTCTCTCAAGTCCTTTTCGCTTCGGTATACAGCACGTTTCGTGTCACACATTGGAAGTCACCGGGAGTCTCTGTGGGACGATTCCCGACGGCGGCTGAGGATTTAGTGTGCGCGTGGGGGCTATCCGCCCGCAAACGCGTCCGACATACGGCTATTAAAGATACCCGTGCGGCAGGCCGTGGGCAATAAAAACGGGTACGGACTCACCAGCGCAACTCCCATGATCTGTGGGAAGGTGTAAGACGAGCAGCCGGCTGGCGTTAGCCTTACGGTGGCGTATGGTGTTTGGAACCAGGCTTTCTCGCTCGCCCACACAATGTCGCAGAGCGGCAGGATAGAGGCACCAAGCCCCATGGCCGGCCCGTTCACCGCCACCACAATGGGTTTCTTAAACTGAATGAACGCGTTCACAAAATCCCTGTTAATAACAACAATAACAACAATAATAATAATAATCCTTGCATTCGATACAGCGCCTTAACCCGTCACATCTCAAAGCGCTTCCAGGATGTCCTGTAAAGTGCGGCGACTTGTGTAATTTGCCAGACAAACGCGGCAGCCAGCTTGCGCGCGGCAACGTCCCGCAAACGGCCACGGCGTAGGTGAGTGACCAGTTTTATTCGGGGGAAGCTTAGCCAGGACACCCGGGGCTTGCCTTCGCCAGTGCTCTGGGGAAAAACTCCCGAACGCCTCAATAATACAGGCTTTCCAGGAAATGAGGGTGGTCACAGCTACCCAGACCCATGTGGAAGAATAATAATAATAATCCTTGCATTTGATATAGCGCTTTTCACGTCTTCTAGACGTCCCAAAGCGCTTCAGAATATACTGTAAAGTGAATTGACTGTATATTTGTGGGCGAACGCGGCAGCCAATTGCGCACAGCAATGTCCCACAGACAGTCGTGGATTGAAAATGACCAATTTATTATTGTTTTGGTTTTTGGAGGGATTATTATTAGGCTCTGTGTGGAGTAAGGAAACTTGCCCAAGGTTTCGCCCTCTGCCTGGAATTGAACTCAGGTCTCTCACTTGCAAAGCGAGTGCTCTAACCACTGAGCTACAGGACTCCACAGGAGATAAGTATCCATCGCTCGTAACACACGACAACCCAACCTCGCCAAGTGTGAGACACCCTCCCACAGCTTTTCCCCCTCGTGTAACCTTTCCACAATTCTATGCAAATTTAAGACTCAGTGGCCTCGCAAGCTAAAACCGGGTGGAATTTTGAAGCTCCCAATCGCTGAAAGCTCACGCACAGCAAGTCCAACACGGTCATCATCATCATCATCGTAAAAACACGATTGCTGCTACAGTCCGGGAGCTCTGGAGGAGAAAAGTGTTCCCAGTTCTTTACTAATCTTAACCAGACTACTGCATTTCACTTTATCTGCAGAAGGAAGTAACCTTGGCATAAATATGTCAGCGTAATAAAAAAAAATTCTCTTGCACGCAGCTGTGTGTGGCTTTTTTTGGGGGACGCAATCCAAATGTACGCTAACAACCATTTTACCCGAGTAACTGGTAGTAGGTAGCGCACAGTCCAGCTGTGTGTGTGTGTGTGTGTGTGTGTGTGTGAGTGTGCTCGCTAGGCTCCAATTTTTTGCTCTGGGCACAGATCTGCACTTCATCAGCCGTCTTCCAATGATGATCGATTTCATGAGCCCTTCATAGGAAATCAGGAACAAGAGCCCATTCAGCCCCTCGAGCTCCCTCTGCCACATACCACTCCACTGTCAGTGTTTAGCTGTGTTTATTCATCTCTGCTGTCTTGAAACTGTTCTGTTGTCTTACAACACGGTCTGTGCTCTGTACACTGTCAGCATTGTCATGCCTACCTTCATCGTCGTTCTCTTCCATGTCTTCATCGGTGATATCGCCGGCAACATCTGCATCACCGATATCTTTGTCGTCAATATCTTCATCATCAGAGCGCTGGATGGCATCAAGAGAGATGCTTCCAGGCATCTCTCTTTGGATTCCACCACTTATATTTGCTGTTGCTCTGTCGGTGACGGACTTAAGCAGGGATCCCACCTGGACAAGAAGTGGGAAGCTTCCCAGCACCTCGTACACTCAGTTGACAGCAGGAGTTTAATTTCAGTAGTAACCCAGCGCACACTTTGTGTTCCCTAATATCTTGGTTACACGTAAGGTGTGTTCTCTGGGCCATGGATCACACGGTGTTTTCCTTACTATTCTGGACTCCCAAGGCGGAAGATACTATATACATTCAATTTGTTGTTGGTTTTATTGTTGTTGTTGTTGATATGAAATCGTTGTTGAAGCGATGTTGTGAGAAACCCTAACAAAACATTTTTGCTTTCGAGAACTTGTCACAAAACACAAGAGGCAAAGAGGCAAACGAGTGAGCTTCAAGCACATCCAATACCTGAGCCGCCCTTACAACACAAAACGTACCTTATTGAATCTGCAATCCGAGTGCTCTCTTTCCGTCTGTCGTTCGACAAACGGCCAATTAAGTAGGAATAGTCCAGGCCCCCGCAGAACACACTTCCCACCGCGCTGAGCAAGAGGAGCTTGCTGTCATCAGCTGCAGCGTTGCTCAGTGCTCTCCGAACCTCCTTCATAATCTGCAGCGAGAATCAGCCACCTTTACTGCTAAGCACATCACCAGATCACAACAGACTCATCGGTCACTTGTTATAATCCTTGCATTGGCTCACTTGACAGAAAAAAAAGGGTACAGCATCCTTCTCACTACTACCCTTCCTGATTTGGGCTGCTTTAATTCAAGTACTTCCTTGTGTCTGTCCTAAGACTGCATTTCATAACCCTGAACACGTGTCCTCTCACCTTCCAGACTCGATATATCTGAAAGCATTGTTTCAGATTTACTTTCTCAACCCAACACGGCTCTATTTATAATAATAACAACCCTTGCATTTGATATAGCGCCTTTTCACGTCGTTGAGATGTCTCAAAGCGCTCCACAGAATACACTGTAAAGTGGATTGACTGTGTACTTTGGGGGCAAAGTATGTATAATTGGAGTGTGCGGGAGTTGGGAGGGAAGGGGAGAGGAGAGTGGGGGGAGTTAACAAAAATATTGGCTGATGCTTTTAGTCAGAATGCTGCGGAGAGTAACAAAGCAATTTTTTAAAAATGCCAACATTCACGGAAAACAATTTTTTTGATGGAATAACCCAATTCCGTGGCAATCTTTGTCCTCGTGGTGCAATGACAGTGAGTTTCTATGTTTCCAAGTTAAGCATTGACAAAGCATTCCACTGGCATGTGGCTTTATTGATCATGGGTCTAATTTGTGTTTATAATAATAATAATCCTTGCATTTGATATAGCGCTCTTCACGTCTTCGAGACGTCTCAAAGCGCTTCACAGAATAGACTGTAAAGTGAATTAACTGTTTGTGCTAACCATGTGCAAACACATACTGAAAACCTATTTCGTTCACAGCCAGGTCTTGCTCAGCGACACTAGATTTCCACGTGACCCGCGAGGGTTGTGATTGCCCATCCCATTATAGTACAGTAAGTTTGAAACAAGTACGAAACAGCGAAATTAAAAAAATACTGGTTGTACAATAGGTATTAATAACCGTTACATTTGGTAGAGTACTTTTCACATCAGGAGGACATCTCAAAGCACTTCAAAGCATATACTGTTAAGTGTAGTGACTGTGTGTTTTGTGGTGCGGGCGAACGCAGTAGCCAATTTACGCTCAGCAATGTCCTACAGACAGCCATGAAGTGAATGACTAATTTCACATGGATTGTTGGACCAGGACACCAGGAGAGAGAAGCTCCCTTCTCTTTTCGAACAGTGCCATGGTATCTTTAACATCTACCTGAAGAGCCATTTGGGACCTCAGTTTAACGTCTCATCGATGTACAAAGAAGATATCCCTTGGCTCTAATTCCCATTCACACACTTGCAACCCTCTAAATTGGGTTCCTTATTTGGTTCGAATAGCATACCATATGCTTTAGCATGTGGGCAAGACTACTATTTACATCAAATGTTCCTTCATATCCTCAAGTAACAAAACCATTTTGAAACAATTTTCAGCTTGTGATGAGGAAAGGAGAGCAAGAGTGAATAGGCCAGTGCGTTCTTACCAATTGTGCTGTCTATTCAACCAGGCTGCCTAGTTGGGTGAGTAGGTAAAGTACGCCAACTGTTTACCAACAAGACTAAATCTTGGGTCAACTTTCATGTTGTATGAAAGACACACTGTGGACCTTACCTCTGGTGTTAAGGAATTATTATCAGACGTCTGGCTGGAGAGTAATATATGCGTAAAACCATCCTGTTTCCTAACCACAATGTCCCTAAATCGGTAGTTACTTTCGTTTTGTCGCACGCTACATCTCAATCTCTTATCAAACACATAGTCCTCTTTGTCCTCCGTGAGTTTTCTCTTTGCAGAGCACGAGTGGTTGGCTTGTCCATTTGAAGTGCCTGAAAGGAGAAATCAATGTCAACAAAGCCTCGTGTAATAATCCTGGTATCTGCACAGTCCAAGTCTTAGAATCACAGAATGTTACAGCAGTGAAACAGGCCATTCAGCCCAATAAGTCTGTATTGGTGTTATTTATGTTCCACAGGAGCCACCTGGTTTAACTGCACTCTCCTGCTCCCTCCCTACACACCTCCCAACAAGGACCACCCTCCCCACTCGGGCTTTTGACCTGCAGGGTTGAGAACGTGTCTATATCTTATCTATATGCAAGCGCTTGTTGAATTATTTTTTAAATGTTCCAATCAAATTACTCTTAACAGCCACCCCAGGAAATGACACCCCAGGAAATGACACCCTGCCAATAATATAATCCTTACATTTGTTATTGCGCCCCATCACATTGTTGAGACATTTCAAAATGCTTCACATAATATATTGTAAAGAGTTGCTGGCAGGCAAAATGCAGCAGCCAGTTGCACACAGCACTATCCCACGAACAGTCGTGGATTGAGTAAACAAATCGTTTTTTAAAAAAAATGCAAGAAATTATAATGACAACTGGCATTTGCCTAGTGCCCTTTATGTAGGATTAGACCTCGGAGCCCTAATGTAACCCTCTGAACCCTCTCCTTTTACTCCCTTAACCAGAAGATTGAGGACCACAAGCAAACCCGTGCTACGTACGTACCTATTCCATTCACTAAAGGCGGTTCAGCCATTGCCATCCCGTCTACAAAGTCTTCGTCCTCAAAGTCCAGGTTCATTCTCTGTTGCCTTGTAGTGCTGTCGAACTGCAATGCGTTCTTGTGTTTCACGTCGCCATTCTGAAAGGAGTTCACAGTCTTCTTGTAAGGCATAATCTGCACTCCACTTGCCGTGGTTCTGTAATGCACGGTTTTAGTAGCGATAATTTTCTTTGGGTCCCCGTGGCCGGGCTTGCTTTCTCTGCCCACCGCGCCTCGCTTTTGCTTTTGATGAGCGATAGTCCTCTTTCTCCGCAAGCCTCCCCCTTTGCCCTTCGTGGCCTCGTAAGCCCTGATTGCAGACGTCCCATGATTGTCTCGCAAGACCTGCCTCGGGCTACTGCCCCGTTTCCCTGATTTAGTCCGCTTTTGAGCCACATTCAGCCCGTTGAACTCATCGATAAATTCCTCGCAGTGAAGGAGGTGGTGCTCTGGTTCCCACGTATCTTCATTACTTCCATAGCCTTTCCATCGAATAAGGTATTCCCATTTCCCCTTTTTATTTTTCCTTTTGTCCACTATCCTCTCGACCTAATGGGATCGAGAGAGAGAGAGGGAGAGAGAGTGGGTTGGGGTGGGGGGCGGGTGTATAGGTTATTGGATCATCATTACCATTTTGACATCAACAAGAAGTTACACAACACTAATTCAGAAAGGGCATAAGTCAAAGTGCTTTGCAAGGATGATGTGGATGATTGAGCACTGGGAAGAGGGTGAGGGTAAAGTGAAGGGTGAAATCACAGTTGAAGGAGCAGGAGTTTCGAAAACAGGGAGAGAGGGGGCAAGGATTTGGGGAGGTTTGTTCCAGTGAGTGGAGACACAACAGCCACACAACAACTAACAGTCCCGAGAAATTATTTACTGCAGCCTTCTGCGGCCCATCACGACAAGCCCTGATCCTGACTACTATCTTTCAGCTCCATCGAGCTAACTCATCCATAAGAACTTGTGAATTCCCCATATCTCTTACCAGAAGGACGAGCCTTATCGAATTAAAGTTAAGAGAACTTGCAATTACATGGAGCCTTTTCACATTGAAATGTGCCTGACTAACATAGGAACAGGAGTAGACCATTCAGCTGTTCTATTAGATCACGGCTGATCTGTACCTCAACTCCAAATTGTCTCAATCAAATGTGGTGACGTTGTTTTTTTTGTTTTGGCAACAGCAGTCACTTTGCGCACAGCAAGTTCCTTTGTGCAAACAGCCACGAGGTGAATGACCAAGTTATATGGAGGGTAACTTTTTGTTTTGCACATTCGTGTTTCCATGATTTACTCCGCTTTTACTCCCAAAATGCCCAAGATTGATCTGTTTCTCCTGCGATTTTTTTCACCTAAATTTAATTCAGGCTGAAGGCCAAAATGCAATCGGGGTTATCAATTCCGTTTTGCCATTCCAACAATCTTGACGTAGATGGATAGGCCACACTGAAATGCAATTGGCGTTGGCCATAACTGATGATATTTGTTTCAAATAACCTGCTAATTGCAGTCAAGGTTATCGCAGGTAATGAAAGAGCAAGCTATCAGCAGGATAAGAGACTGGAAAAGTCTCTACACCCTTGGGTGACCAAACACGGACCGAAGGAAAAAACACTAGTGTAGCAAAGAGTGACTGCTCTACATGTTCAAAGCTGCATTTTAACTCACGGCAGATCAGATGAATCAGAAACAGGCCTTGGATATTAAGCAATTACTCAGTAACTGAACGTAGTCTCTATGGGGCAGTTTTAAACTCCCTTCGCTTTTCAAGTAGTTCCATGGGATCTTTAAACAAGGCACACGGGAACTCTGCTTAATTGTCTCTCATCCAAAGGATAGCATCTCTGACAACAAAGCAAATACAACCAGCACTGCATTGGACTTTCAGACTAGACTACATGACTTCAAAGTCCCGATGTGCCGGCTTGAACACACAACCCTCTGACTCAAATAATAATAATCCTTGCGTTTGATATAGCGCCTTATCACGTCTTCCGAGTCTCAAAGGGCTTCACGGAATATACTGTAAACTGAATTGACTTGTGAATTTTGTGGACGAAACGCGGCAGCCGATTGCGCACAGCAGTGTCCCCACAAACAGTCGTGGATTGAGTGACCAAATTAGAGGTGAGAGTGCTACCCACTGAGCGAGGCTGAGACGTACACAGCAGCAAGTTTTTAAACTCAGTTGAGTGTGAAATGCAAGCACTAATCCGGTACTGAATCATGGAGTTGAATGCAGATAGCAAAGGAACTGGCTTGTTTTCACTAATTAAGTAGTTTTTCTTTTTTTTAAAAAAAACATCAAAGGCAACTACGAAGAACCTTTAATACCCCCACCTTCTTTCTGTGTCACTTTCCGTGATTTTTTTTGTTGCAGTGAATGCTAATGCCGCGTTAACTTAAGTGGCTTGCAAGGGTAAATAATGCCAACAGCAATGATCAATTGCAACGTAGACGTGAAACAATGCGATTGCTTGAAGCGCTCCAGGTTCATGGCTGGAACTTTGCTATTGCTAGTTCAGCTTCCTCAAAGCGTCAGCCTTGTACACATTTCCATCCCAGCTCCACCCACACAGTTAACAGCATTCGATTCGCAGGAATTGCTGGACGAAAAAAGAACTAAGATCCATCGAGTCCACCTTGTACCATCCTTGGTAGTTGCTTGCTATAATAATGGAGATGTTGCCAGCAATCTATTCTCTATGGGTTCCTCTATCAACCGAGTGGAAAGCGTCGGAAACCTTAGATCCAATTCAGAACAAATTAATTCCAAACAGCAAAAGTACAAAAGTTTAAGTCCAATGACTTGAACTGGAAAGCGGAAAGACGTCAAATACAGACAGTCTCACCAATTTCTCCACTGAACCTCGGTGTATTTTCATTGAGCTCGTACATCCTATCGTGTTATTTGGTTTGGCAGCTGTAATGACACTTTGAATAACCTTTCAACTAGTGCACACATCTTTTTCACGCTGCAACTGATTATAACAATTTACCCTTCATTCTTCAACCAAATCCACTCTTTTTAACATGTGAAAGCATTGCCTGAAGTGACATGATATGAAATACCATTCGCTACAGGTTTCATCTACAGGTGCTAAGTGTTTGTCGATCTCCTTGAACTGTGTCCTTCGTCTTGGATCATCTTTCCTTCCCCCACCACTTGATGTCACCTGCAAACCACATCTGCCTAATGGTATCTTCAAGGTCATTGCGAGCTCCTTTAAACAAGTGGAGCTCCAGTACAGATCCTGTGAACATGGCTGTTGCTGTCACAGTGCCCATTGGAGCCCTTCGCATTGACAAGTGTCCTCTGGTCCCCATGACTGAACCAACTCGAATTCTCAACTTACAGCTTCCCCTCGATTCACAGGTTTTCCGTAGGGATCTCAACAAATGCTTTCTTGAAAGTCAATCTGTATAAATATCCAGCCCTTTACCCTCGTACTCAGAAAATATTTCATTAGTTTAGTTAGCATGACCTGCAAGGCATAAATCTCTTCTAACCTGGTTCATTTAATACTCAGGTTGGTTCTTCTTAAAATTACATCTTTTTTTAATAGACTCCAGTATTCCCCCGGTGCCCACCCTGTATCAAACTCGGTTCAGTTTGGTAGCACTCTTGCCTTGGAGTCAGAAGGTTGTAGCTTCAAGCCTCACGTCAGAATTTTGAGGTCACAGTCTAGATGTCCCTTGGACCTGTTTAAGATCACGTGACACTATTTCTCCCAGTGTCCCATGCCCAGGGAGAAACCAGCTTATCTCTTCAAAGAGTGTCATGGGATCTTTAAAATCCACCTGAACAGGCAAGACAGGACCTTGGTTTAATGTCTCATCTAAAGGGGTTGATGTTATAGCCTCTGGGAATACAGACTATTACATCTCTCTAAGTATAGAGCATTATACCGCTGCAAGTACAGACTAGCCTTTCCCACTGATGGTCACTCTATCCTCCCATTGAAAACCTGACGACCCTTTGCACACTACATACTGGTTTAAGCGCCTCGAGATGCCGTCCAGCGTGAAGGGCGCTATATAAGTGCAAGTGTTGTTGTTGTTGGCAGCATCCATTACCCGATTCTCTGCTTTCTTCAGGGTCCAGCTCTTGGGAGCAAAACAGAAGACACAACTGGGCACGAGCCTCAAAACTCTTCTTTTTTCATACCTTAAAATATTTACTTTTCCTCCAAAATATTTTCCCAGGATCATTCTAAAATATATATATTTTACAACTAATGAAATGTAGCTCTTCACCTTGCATCCCCTCCGCCCCCGACCCTAGGCATCCAAACTCCATGGTATAAAACTGTGTCAATCACTCAACTCACCCTCTGTACCAAGGAAGCCTAGAGAAACGAGTAGAGCAAGTACCGTACCTACTCAAGCACGTTTCGTTACAGGGAGTTCATTTGGGAGGTTATTTTTGTACCTGCAAACCTCGTCTCTCTGATTCAAATGTTAAAACAACTGGAAGGCCATCTGCCAGAGAACCAGTCTCCGTGCTTAGCCAGTCTTATAGTATGGAGATCGCTGGGACGGACAGAGAGGAAACGCATCTGAATTTAGGCCTCAAAATTTGGTTTTGGAATATTTTGTTGGTTTTACACTGAAACTTTCATGTCCACCAGGGGGTGCTACACATCAGACAATAATAATAATAATCCTCGAGTTTGTTTCGGGGTTTTAGAACATCAGAAGGTTGTGGGTTGAAGCCCACATCAGGGCCTTAAGTTTATATCTATGCCAACACTCCAAAACACACCCGGTGGGGGGGGGGGGGAGCCCTGTGTTGTTGGAGGGTGTTGAGGTCCCATCTACATTTTCTTCATCGAATATTTTCTTTATTTATGGCATAAATATATAGAGTGTGTAGAGAAGGACATGGAAATAGGACAGAAAAGGATCTGGTAGTCATCTAATACCCTGTTGGAACAGGCTCCATGGGCAGAATGGCCTCCTAATGTTACTAGTAGGGCTTCTGGCCCGTGCAGTGCAATTCTGTCGGTTACCAGGCGCACTATAAACTGTGTCCATCCCTGATCCTGGTTCCTATGGAACTGGGCAAACTCCTCAGTCTGGCATGAAGATGTTCCCTTCTCATTTGAACTTCTTTGGAATGCCTTGGTTCTGTTAGTGGATGGAGTAAACTCAACCTGCAGGATCCTCCTTTAATAATGGATCCATAGACTATACATGACCTCCCAATGTTTTTACAGTAGGACAATTGCCTAAGAGAGAGAGAGAGGGGAGGGAGAGAGTTAATCATTAACTCACTACAAGAACATGAGAGGACTATGGACACAGGACATAACACCTGAAGACTTACAAGGCTTTACTAAGTGCAGTTGGCATGAACCATAAAGGAGACTCTGTGGAACTCTTTCCCTGACGTGCTGTGTTTCTAACTGAATCGGACAGAAATATCGAGGTGCTTTCAGCGTTGCCTTAAAACCAAACCAGCTGGCTGTGATTTTCTCTGCTGCTCTGAGAGATTTCCTAGCCACGGTTTTTATTTGCATTTCTTATTTCTCTGTAGTTCCTCA